TTATTATTATTATTATTATTATTATTATTATTATTATTATTATTATTATTATTATTATTATTATTATTATTATTATTATTATTATTATTATTATTATTATTATTATTATTATTATTAGACACTTTCAAATGCATAGGGCCCTTGCTCCCTCTATGGGAGCCTATATACTTCATCTAATCCACTAGCTGAAGCTGTCCTGAACAATATATTCACGAAGGCTGTCCTGAACACCTTCCATCTTCAGTTGTGACAGTACAGGAAAAGAAGACCAGAAGAAGCTTGCTCTGTATGTGCAAAATACTGTTTGTGAGAAAGCAAGTATTATTATCTGGTGTCTTTATCATAGAATTGCATGAAGACAAATTGTAAAGTAACTGTTCCATGTAGTTTAATCATTTGAATGCCATTATGGGAAATCTCCAGCAGATACAGAGCTAAAATGTGAGCTTAATCTTACCACAACACACCATTTTTGCAACCGGAATACAGTGAATTTGTTGTTATTTCTTGGAATGCATCACAGATCATTTAATAATGTCTGTATCTTGTTTTACTATTACAGTTACTCAGTGGAAGCTGGTATGGGCAATTAAAAGTGAAAGGTACAAATTATACTACTTGGCTATATTTCTTTCTTTGCCCTGGAAGATTAAAACAACAACTTTAAACATTTCATGGAAAGAAGTTCTCTTCTCTCTCTATATATATATATATGTCATGGACAGTTCTTGAATTCCATTATTTGGCTATAGTCCAGAAACCAATTGCAGGTCAGGTGTTGAGTTTAGCCTAATATTTTGTTGAATGAGAACAATATAAATCCACAATTAGTCTATGATTACTGGTTAGCTGTCCAGAAGGATTTGTTTCCAATTAAATGCCGCATTTGCTCCATGGGTTAACATTTTGATTGGTGGATTAATCATTTGCCATTTTTTCTCCTCTTCAAGTTCTTCACAGAAACACATGCCCAGTGAAGGTATCTAGTGAAGCAAAGATAATTCACAAAGCATTTTGTTAATGCTATTCAAGATATCACTTCATCTTCCTACTAAAGATGTTCTTATTGCAAAGCAGGCACATTCTTATAGGCCAACACCATGATATAGTCAAATAAGGTTTATCACCTAACAAAGATAGAGACAAGATCCCTGAGACCTCACAAGGAAACAACTCATGGACTGCTAGTGTTTGAAAAACAGGCTTATGAGAGAAGACTATGGATGCATTTTAATGGCATAATAAGTCAGAGGTGCAGAGAATCCTGAATTTATGTCCAAGCTATTAGTGCACACTGCCCAATCACTCCCAGTTCCCTCTTCCCACAAGTTAAAGAAACATGGGGCTTTCCCTCCATAAGAGAGGTTGAACTGCAGTACTACAGTAAAGATGATGTCCATGATCTAAGTTTGATCCTGGACTCAGGTAGCTGGCTCAAGGTTGACTCAGTCTTCCATCCTTCTTAAGTCAGTAAACGGAGTACCCAGCTTGCTAGGGGTGGTGGTGGCAGGCAATGTTTAGCCTGAATAATTAAATTGTAAACTGCCCTGAGAGATCTTTAAGCAGTATATAATCAGCACACTTTGCTTTGCTTTTGTCAAGTTTTGTTCTAAGAAAGAATGCTAATCTGTCCCCAAAAAAGCCAGAGTCAGACACTGCAAATGCATCAAAGCTCATGAATCTGACTTCTTCAGAGAGGGCCATATAATTGTTTCTGATTCAGACTTTATGATAAACAAATTGCAAACACAAGGGCCATGCTTTTTGTAACGTCACTCTTGCTTGCAAGAGGAGTGAAGTGTGAAAGTCAACATAAAGCTTGCACCAATGCACTGCTCAGCCATAGGTTTCTTGTGATGAGGAAACTATGCCTTATGTCAGCAGCATAAATTTGACTATGCGATCTGAATGTTGCCTGACAGTCCATTGCTTCAGAAGCTTTGACAACAGTGCTAAAAATCTTGCCAGCCATATTCTTCTGTTTCAAATGCTTTCAGAACAGAAGGTGAACAGTCATAGGTAGTTCATACTGAGGTATGTATATGTGTCCCACAGTAAAATGATAAAGTAACCCCCACCCCTGAGCCACCACTACTGTAGCTGGTGTCTGTTATATGCTGTCAAGTAACATCTGACCTCTAGCAGCCAAAACCGGGGTTTCCCAGGTATATAAGGAGTGGTTTTACCATTGCCATCCTATCCACCTCCCATTGGCTTTGACACTGGCTATTACCAGAGCTTAGTTACAGAATATATGGTTTGGGTGAAACAAGTGTCAGGTTTGATTCCTTGCATCTCCCATTGCATCGGGTCAAATAAGAGGTGATGGAAATAATCTCAGTCTGATCATGTGTAATTAGGCTTTCTGTATTCCTAAGAGTGAAACATAGACAGTATGAATAGAGGAATTAATTCTTCATACTGTGGTGGTGGTGGGGAAATGTACAATGTCTCTCACCTTTCGAACAAGTTGGGCAAAGTCATTGCCATCTCTAGCAGGGAGACCCAACAATGGCCGAGTGAAGGAATCCAGAGATGAGCCATGGCCAACCATCAGGATGGTGCCTATTGTCAGAAATCATATTCCTTAGAATGCCATATTAACATATGGGGTGCATGATATTTGAGTTCATTCAGACCACCATGTACTCTAAGCTTGTCAGAGAGAGCCATATGGCATATTTTTTTGTTTGGAAATTTGTCACTGAAGATACAAGGTAATGAAATGAAGACTCAGGTTCATGTTACCTTTAGTTGCACAAGAGCCAATGATGTGTTTTATCGTCTCAGAGCATCTATTAACATAGTCCTCAAAACTTTCAGATGGCATCAAAGAAGAAAGAGGAAAACTGCATCTGTAAATGAAACCATCCATTTCATTAATACTGGTTGGGTTACAGGAAACATGATCGTTTGAACATCCATCCTTGCTTGATCACTAAAACTCTCCAGTAACTTGTGAGCTTATTTCCCATAATTTAGAGCAAGGATGGGCAACTGTGGCTGGAGAAGGAGTTGCTAACCTGCCTGTGGAAGCCTCTGGGGCTGTGTGGACCAGCAAGCAGGCAAAATAAAGAAATAAAGTAATGAAAAGAATAAAACTGTAAGTGGGTTTTGAAAAATGGGTATTTTGTTTGTTTGTCATTAAATAGTATGAGGCAGGTTGCAACCTTTTAAAAAAAATTGCAGTTCCATAGAACTCATTTAGAGTGTCATATGGTTCATGATGCACATGCATGGAGCTCTTATTCCAGGGAGATTCAGTGAAAGAGGTAGTATTTCTTACACATGTTAGTCTGTGTACAACAGTTCCATCTACTGAAATGAGTGATTGTTGGGCCTCTGAATGTGAGGAAGCTTCATTTGGGCACTAACACTCCCAAATTACCCAAAAAAATGGGTGATTTGAAATAACTGTTCTTCCATGCTGCAGGTGTAACTAGAGCAGTATACTGTGATATTGAACCAATTTGTGAGGGAAAAGCACTTCAGAGTACTTCGAAGCTTAAAAGATCAATAGAAAGTATTCAGCACTTTCCTGCAACTAGTACTGGAGTGAAAATTGTGCACTCTGTGTGTCCCTCAGAGATCTCTATATGGGGACCTAGGAACAGCCTAAAAGAGTTAGTTATGCCCCCAGAAGGGCATCTTTGGTGATTTAGAAGCTATTTTGTTGGCCAGGCTTGTTTTAGAACTCAAATAACCTGAAAACTTTGTCCTGTAGTAAGGAATACCATACATTTATAAGGATTTTACCTCCCATAACATATAGGGGTAATTCCACAGATCCAGCTGGGGGCACTATGAAAACTGCAGTGCAAAAAGAGAGCGATAATATTGGTAAGCTCTGCTCAATTCAAACCCCTTCAGTCAACTGAAAAATTGCCAGAGCTGGAGCATGCACTGCAGATAGGCTACAACAGGAAGGACTCCAAGAGCGAGGCTCGCTTCTGTCACTGTTTCCTATTCCGTTTGTGGTTTTGCAGACATTTAGAAACTGCATTGAAATACAGGACTGCATTGCCATGGAAGGAAAAGAAAGAAGCAAAGAAGCAAACCTAAATACGGGTAACTGAGTGCAATAGTAATCACTTCTATGCAGAACATACAAACACTTTATGCCTCTGAGTATCATGTTATATTGGAAATAAATAATCTTCTAAAAATGCATTGTGCATGAAACATTGGAGCAGGTATGGTCTGATCTTTTCATTTCTCTCACCCCACAATGGAATTCTTGATTTCCCCCCAAATCTGTTGCTTCTTCCAAGTGTTTCTTTTGAGAATCTTGTACTTTTACTAGAGGATCTCTGCCCCTAAATGCAAAGGGCATGCCAGTACTAGAGACTACCACAATAGAGCCTTTGGTTGTCACTATAGCATATACTGTAGGCACTATTTAAAAAATAATGTAATAGGAGCACTTACTTGTAGGTGGTATCCACACTGTAACTGATGTCAGACAATTCTCTTCGTGTCATAAAAGGAGGAATCGCAGTGCTTGTCTCCCATTTAGTCCATTCAAAGAGCCCTGGTTCAATACAGACCTTAGCTTTTTGCTCTAGCTGAAGCCCTGTGAGAATCAAAGCAGATATTTTGACAAAGGAAGCCATTCAGTACTCCTGACTGAGCTCAGATTCTTACATTCAGTTAACATCTTAAAAAATCTTAAATCTCAGACAAAACTTCAATTCACCATAAGAAAGCAATCCAAAGTGAAACAGAATGCACATTTCAGTGGGGAAATATTCCAGAAATGCTCAGAACAATTACTTTTTAAAAAAATGATAAGTCTCAGAATCCCAATACAACAGAATCTGAAAAAAAAAGAAATAAAGGTATATTTTTAGCCATACTGGCTGGCGGACTCTGGAAGTTGTCATCCAGAAGAGTAACATTTCTGAACATTGAGACCAGCTGTGCTTATAGGGCATAGAATGGTGTCTGACAGGCAGGGAGTAAAATAGTTTAGAGGAACTGGGAAAGAAGACTATGTTTAGGTTCCTGAACAGGAGCGCTCCACTTCAAGACATATGTGACTGGTCCAGAACTGGAACAATGTTTACTGTTTGAAAAGAGGGATTGTAGTCCATGAAATAACACACTGAAATAAATCTGCAAGTTTTTAAGATGCTGAAATGCATTTATTTTTGAAAGTACTAAATCCAAGAAAGAGAGAGAGGAAGAGAGAAAAAAAAATCTTCTACCAAGTTCTGCATAGATCCCATTCATTAAATGCCATAAGGCACTCTTTACATAATGAGCAAAAGAGTAGCAACTAGCACCCTAAAACTGTCATCTCCTGGTTTAAATAAAAATCTAATAATAACAATTGCATGCCATCAAATCAGTTCTGACTTATGACAACCCTTTTCAGGATTGTCTAGGTAAACAGAACTCAGGAGCAGTTTACCATTCCCTTCTTCTGGGGGTGCCCTGCGACTGTTCAGTTGGCCCAAGACTGTTCTTCCTGGAGTCCCAGTGGGGATCTCCCAACCTCTGGGTGCATAACCAGATACCAGACTCACCAAGGTATTCAGCCAGATAAATAAAATAAAATAAAATAAAATACATAAGCCACACATCAAAGATGCCCTGAAGTCAGCCACTGTCACAACATGTTTCCTGCACTAGTAACATTTTCTGGACTTGTCAGTGTCCTCAAAGTATTGGCAAGAAATCTATAGAGGGCAAATACCAGTCAGTGATCAGCTGTGATAGAAGGAGCTGTGTCATACTTACCTTCCAATATATGCTGTGCAGTTTGGATACAGCGCAATGCCGGAGAAGAGTAAACACAGCTAACCATCACTTGCTGTTCTAGCAAGGCTTCTCCTAGTAGTGAGAGCAGGGGAGGGGGGAATGGTCCAGAGATGATACTCCACAAAAAAGAAGAGATGGGTGCAAAACATATTCTCAAACATATCAAGTTTAGATTTCTTCATGCACTGGCTTGAGGGCGCATTTGTTTCCATCAGAACAGTTACATTACAGAACCTCAGTAGGTGGGTTCAAAAGAAATGCTTTCAGAAGGAATGCACAACAAGGAGTAGCTACCAGTTTTCATGGCAGCTCAGTTGGAATATATTCATCTCAATAACAAATGCCTCGATAAAGCCTGAAAATGTCTGAAAAAATGTGGCCAAAAAAGTGCAACAGGACATTGAAAAGCTATTTTTTAGACTATGATTCATAGAATCCCACAGTTAGCATTACTATTAGGTGCGAGTGCTCATAACCTTCCATTTTATTCACAATTCCTCAAAGAGCTGTTAGCTTTACTGCAGGCAACATTCCACCGTCATCCTTAGACTATTACCCTGTCTCAAAACTAGGAAACAAAAAGTACCAAGGTAGCATTTGGAGAATAACTGAGAAGTGGAGAAATGTGTTCTAACCAAACTGCCACAATGTGGGAAGAACTTTAGATTTTAGTCAGAGCTGGTCCTACTGTTTAGTAAAGTGAGGCAGCTGCCTCCAGCAGCAGATGCTAAGGAGCAGGTATCAGGAAGTGTACCCCAGCTCCCCCAAACTGCTTTGTTGCCCTGAAATGTGATGAAGTAAAATTTAATTGCCAGTCTGAGCGGCTTTTATGCAGGGGCATCATCTTGTCCTTCATCTTGGACTGATAAGTATCTTAGTGTAAACGTGGATCTCAAGAAACAGGTGCCAACACTGTATGTATATCACAAAGGGAAGGGCACAAGAGGTATTCTCAAGTAATTCCAAACCCTTCATTTGGTTTCTCCAAGCTTTGATTAGCATCCTAAATAGCTTACCAATCAGCCTAGCTTGGAAGATACCACAGGATGATATAGGAGGATCACATTCAAAGTCCTTGATGCCGTTTTTTCGATTTGGTAGACTGGAGGGGAAATTTAGATCTGCTCGATAATATTTTCCTGAAACAAAACAAAATGCTTTAATATGGCAAAATATTTATAGCCAGTCTCATCCTATTTCTTTTAATTTTGATTACAGTTCAGTTAGGTTAGCCCACAATGCTACTGCTGTTGCTTTTATAAACGCCTCGATCCATTTCAAAATCCATTTCAAAATTCATATTTTCTTCCACATTAGCTTCTGTGCCATTCATGACTGATATGTATATGCCCCCCAAATTGATGCTTTATTCATTAATAATAATACCATTGCAGATTTATGGCAAACTTGAAAATATATGGAGAGATCATTTCCATGGTTAATGGATTTGGCAAGGAACAAATGGCTCAGCCTTCTTTGTTTTGGCAAATACAGCTCACATAATACCAGGGAAGGAGACTCGAGTTGTGTTACTCACTGTCAAGTTGGACTTAAGTCATATCAGTGACTTGACTCAGACTCGACTGTGGCTTCTTTTTCAATGACTCAGAGTCAACTCACAACTCAGAATCCACCCATCACCTCCCTTCTTTCTGGGAAAAAAAGCTTGTTTTTAATTGGGACTTGGACATGGGGCTTGGGACTTGCAACTTGATATCAAAGACTTGGATTTGGGACACGGTACCAAAGACTTGCCAACATCCTGGCATGGTAAACTGCATTAAATCAAGCCCGTTGTGTCAGACCCCTGAAGTTCTGCTTACCATCCGCACCAAAACACTGCTGAAGCCAAGACTTCCCAAATACTTGATCTACACTTTCCCCATGATGTATCACCAAAAGGCCTCTTGGTGCTGTTCTCCAAGAAAGCTGGAATAAATTGCAGCACAACTATAGTTAATTACAACTTTAGTTAATGTAACACTAAGACAGGGCCATTCTACTTCAGAAGTTGGCTACATCTCTCTAAGGTGCTCACCGAAGGTTGCAATATGATGATTGTAAAATGGGCGGCCCTCCACATATTGCTACATTGCAGCTCCCATCATGTTGGAGTTTTATCTGCAACCACACATGCTATCTGTAGTTTGAGTGACTGGAAGGAACTTTTCTGGGCTGGGATGATTGTCTATTTAACTAGCACTAACCAATTGTTCCTTCCAGCTTTTGAAGCTCAAAGAGAAACCGCACCACCATCTCACATTCATCAGTTGCTGGTAGGTTGTTTGTTGCTTTTGATCTGTTTGGCTGCTTGCCAATATGCATGCAGTAAAGAAAGCAGTATATATAAGTCTGTAATTTCAAGCAACTGTAAGTAAGGAAACTTTTTTTTTTATTCTTTCCTGTACAAATGTCTCAGAGGGAGTTACTGAGACTTCAGGTGCCAGTTAATGAGAAAGAGGTGGGCTCTGGAAAACTCTGAAAACTATTCTCCTCTGTGGATCTCTGTAGTTCTGTTATGTAGCAGAAAGAACATTTTACTAGAAATTCAAAACTGTTTAACACATCATGCCTCACCATGGCAATTCTGGCCAGTGCTGATGGGAACTGCAATCCAACAACATCTGAAGGGCCAAATTGCCCACACCTATATCATCATTTGGTTCCAGCATCTAATAATTGATTATACATGTCATCTAAATATTGATCATTTACTTATTATGTGTAATATTTGTTATGTACCAAAATGCCTTCATTTGCTGTGAGGCTTTAGGTTTTAAATCACTTAGTGTACCTTCAACTTCAGGATTAACCTCTTCAGATGTGGATGCAGGTTCAAGTTCTAACGCATTACCATTTATGGTAGGAACTTAAAGAAAACTATTTACATCAAGCTGAACATTGTCCATCTCCTCTCTTGCCAATGAGGCAGAAAAGGGTTTCTCTTCTGGTTTATCTGGCCCCAGTCTCTAAATGTTGCACCTAATGATAATGGCAGCATGGAGGTTTCTCCCAGGTACTCATCCCATCTCAATCGATTGCCTAATTTAAAGAATTCCCAGGTCCCTCCTCTCCATCATTTCTTGTGCTCTCTCTCTCCTTGTTCTACCCTTGTTCTCTCCTCTCAGACTACACCCTCCCCACTTCCTTCTCTCCCCAGTAAAAAGGTTTCTGAGAAGCAACTGCTCTCCTTCTTCACTCAGCTTCTTCCCCAGGTATCATCAATCTCTCCCACTTGCGTGTCCGGGGATTCTCTAACCAGATCCATTCCCATCTGGGTGGTAGGGATACTCTCTTGTCTTCTTGCTCTCATTTTCTCCTGTCTCTACTAAACTAGACGTTGTGACTTCCCACTTTCTTATATTTCCTTTCCTGCCAACTTTCTCCTTCTCTTCTCCTGAATGGTCTAACTTCCCTCCTCTATTCCTCTTTTTAAAACTGTTCCCCCAGCCTTTCCACTTCTCCTAGGTCCTGGTTGGTTTCCTCTTTCATGACCCCTTTATGGGAACCTATACAGGCTGTCCCTCTTGGTACGGCCATCTCTGCTCCTCTGTTCCTTTGCCTTTTCTCTGCTGGAATGGATGCTGCTCTGATGAGAAGCATCGCCAACTTGCCTCCTTGCTCACATTCTAGACTTTGGTTTGCTAATTTTTATAATAATTCACTAACATAGGACAAAGACTAGGAGTAAAAAATGTCTATTAACTAGTTTTCTTGATTTGATTGCAAGAAGTACAGAGGAGATCCAAA